TGAGACTACATTAGAAAAGAACTTTTTTTGTTACTGAAGAGTCACTTTTTAGCTTGACTCTTCACTGCAGTATGTCACATCCATACTTGAAACGCTGGCCTGGTACGTACCAGCACAACCTGAAGGATTTGCCAGAAGGGCCATATGTAAACAGGTTTGATCTCCCTCATTCTGAGCTCTAGCAGACCAAATGCAAGCCTGGTTCAATCTGGAAGTCTTGTAGGCAGTTAGTGCAGGACTAAAGTGAACCTCATAAACTCCGTTGCGAGCAGACAGATCGAGTCTTCCAGAACACTTGTTCCTTGCGTGCTTTCATCATTAAATTAACCTAAAAAGTCTTTCAAGCAGCATGCTTTGTGTGTATGTGGGTCATTCAAATTTTATGTCTCTATACAACTGACTGGAGGAGTGTTTCAAGTCTGAGGGCCAGAGCAAATTCTCACAAAACAGAGCATCTTCAGCTGTCATCATCTTTCAGTTAAATGTGAATTGATGTGGTGGTCGCCCACAATAGGGTGCTTCACCTAGTGGCCTCCATTGTATTGCTTTAATAGGGCAGCGAGTATTGCTGGGGGGAAAGGACTGTTGGGCTCTTCTACTGCTGCTTTAGAAGAGTTTGTTACTTTGCCTGTTGCAGACAACCAGCTGTTACCCAAATGACAACTGTCCCCAGTGACCTGGGGACGTTCAGCATGAACTGCTGATGCTTAAGAAGGACCTTGAGCAGGATATCAGAAAGGCTACTAGAGAGGGTTTATGCTACTGGCCAGACATCTTCCCTTCCCTGGGGTCTGTGACTATTCAGTCGGTGCTCAGGCTAAGGGGTTTTTCCAACCGTGAGAGTTGGGAGTATTACCTAGGACAAATGAAAGACCTCTCTTAATCAGCTACCGCTTTGTGAATTCAGTTGGGAGTCAGACTTGATAACCTCATGCTTAAGAAAGATATCCTCCTCTATGATGTCCTGTGCAGAGAGAGAGAACATTTTGCCAAAGTTCCCAAAATACTAAGGTGGTTTGGACACTGGACTATACTGTGAGTGGACGTGATTCCTACTCGTAACTGTTTCCCTCTACTTGCATCTCTTCATCAGTGGGCTGCAGTGAGACCCAAATAGAGGGATAAAGTAGTGTATACTGTAGATTGTGAATGACGAATTTCATTAGAGTACTTGTTGTAAGAGAATTGAATTGAATGCTCACCTTTGGAGGAATCTTGCTGGACAAATCTGCATTGCATGAAACATTTATCTCATACCTTCTGGCCTTGTCTGTATGATTTTGAGTTAATAATGCAGCTTCACAACCTAGTTCCTTTCCCTTTCCTCCCTGTCCTTCATCCCAAGTCATGGAGTATTTTCTGCTACATAAAACAGCTTCACAAGAAGAGATGGGCCTACACATGACAACTTTGTGGCTAACAAACCCTTCAGGAGTGTGAGAGAGGTGTGACAGAGGAGATAATTGAACCTAGGTTTTCCAAAGCCTGGCAGACGTTCTTACTGCTAGGCTACCGAGTAAAAGGGGCAGCTGTGGGGGAGTGAGGACTGCTTATATGCCAATAAAGCATCAACAGGGTTTTAGGTTACTGGCTCCCTGCAGCAAGGTAGGAAACTGGGCAGAGAACTGAGTGCTAATTCAATTCCCTGTGTGTTCAGAGGTATAGTGATCTATGTGTGACCTTGTGCAAAGGATTATTGATGTATCTATCACTAAATTTCTGATAGCATGTAGCTGACAGCTACAGATAGACTCCTTGCCTTTTTTTACTCTGCAGCTGAAGCTGATGGGAACAACTTCCCTTAATTTTGACCATTTGTTGTATGTATATTTCTTCTGACTGTAATGCATCATAAATGTCACTCATTCTGTAAATGGTCTTAACTGTTGATTTAGTTTAATGTGGATTTTATGGATCTCAATATATGTTAATTTGTAGGTAACAAGCATCTAGTTACATCTTTGTCTTTTTTTTTTTTAATTAAAAAGACAGTTACAAATGAAATATCTCCAGTTGTTAAGGTCATTGGTGTTAGCAGTTGATGTGCAACATTTACTAAAATGTTGAACATAGTTACTTAGCTAGTTAGACCAGATATATTCACTTACTGTATAATAATAAATACTTTAATAGCTTAAAATTAGTTTTCTTCCAAACCTTCTTACATTCATCTATTTGATCTCAGCCAGTGGATGTTTTGCTGTTAATTGCAGCAATAAAAGATGTTTTACCATCTACAAGTAGTGGTAAAACAACATGGGAAGCTCCTTGGACTTCTTTGTATGGGATTGAGATTCCAATTGGGGTATTGAGCTGGCAGAATTTCCCTTTGAAGCCCACAGAAAAGGCAGCTAGCTGCCTGGTGCTGGGCAGTAGAAAGTCCTTTGTAGCTCTGCTACCACCAGAGTTAGCTGATTAATGATGATAAACATGCTGGGGGCCAATTCTGACTTTGCTTTGTTTTGAATTTTTCTTTATTGCAGTTTGACCAAGCCTGAAGTTTGTTGAA